CACTACTGCTGCTAGTTTTGTTGCAAGCACAAGGCTTATTTAAGACTTTTACATTTTTGTGGCTCCAGACAGATCTGTTTTTTCTTTTTGGTCCAATAAGGCTCTTTGAGCAGTTTGGGTTGCCGACCCGTAGTCTAAATAGTATTTTCCTAAAGAATTAATCAACATCCCAAGGTTAAAGATCGTGTGTAGGCTAATAAACAATTTTTTTTTCTGTTTTGCTTTTATTTTTTTATTCCCAAGAAAGAAAAAGAACAACAATGTTTTCATGTATTCATTTAGTTTTAATGAATTAAGCTGAAGCATACTGTAGTTATTAGCAATGTTGCCTTGCAGCAAAAAATGTAATTGGTTTGGATCCAAGTGTTTTTTCTGCATGGAGTTTATATGTTCTCTCCATGCATGGTGGGGTTCTCTTTGTATACACTGGCTGCCTCTAACAGTCTAAAAGCATAACAATTAGGATAATTGCTCTCCCTTAAAGGTCTATAGATGGTTGTTTGTTCTATGTACCTTCATGTTGCCCTGTGATGGCCATGAAACCTGTCCGATTGGTACCCAACCTCTCACTCAAAGACCTCTGGATGCAAGCATCTGCTACTCTGTAGGGTTGGTCAACAATAGATAGATGAATAAAACATATTTTTGTGTACTGAAGAGTTAGTTAACTGGAAATTAATCCAGATAATAATCAAGTCATTACATTTACTTACACGAGCAATGTTCTAATTTTATGTTAAAAAAATAAAATTTGTTTAGAATAACTGATCTGGGACTGTTAAAAATGTGAGTCAAAACAGTGAAATTTAACATTTTTATATTTTTTTATCCGTTTTTGTTTGTTTGAAAGGGGAATGGTTTGTTCTTACAGAACCTGCAGATACTCCTGAGATCAGAACATGTGTTCCATGCTGAATGATGGATGTAGGGGTTTAGGCTGAGATTGGCAGATTTACTAAGAAGCGAAAGGAGCAAAACAAAACCTAATAAACAAAATAATACATTCTGTTTTCTTCGTTTTTCAGCAGTTTTCTAAACCAAATTGAATTAGCTATTTTACAAAGTGCCTTATCTAGTATTTTGAAGAAAGTTATGTAGCTGATTCTCTAGGAGAAATTACTAATGTTTTAAGAAAAAAGAGCAAACATCAAACAAAAAGACTGTATAACAGCAGTAATTTAGTCGGGTTTCAGCTGTTTCAATTTCAGTGAGTGCATTTAACAGAACATCGCTAAAAGGGTATTAGTTGTTGAGATGAGTTTGACATCTGCTCCATCAATGTGTTTGGTTTAATTCATTTTCTAAGAAGTAAATATATTTAATTCCTAAAGAAAACCCAACTTACTCAATAGGCAGTGCAAAAATAATCAAATATGTCGTTAAATTCTTGCCTCTCATATATTATTCTAAAGAATAATAACCTCTCAATACTAATGTGTATCACCCCCCACATCAGCAGCCTAATATGAGAAAAATGCATGTGTGCCTGGTTTCTATGGAAACTGAAACTTTAACTGAAAACAGTGGCATGCATCTCTGTAGACTTCTTTCAGGCTATTTTTATCTGTGGCTGTGTGCCAGATCAGATGCAGACTTGGGAGTGTTAGTGGCATACATTTCACATACAGTATGTATGAATACAGGGGGAAACCAAATGACACAGTACGAATAGAAATAAAACAGTTTGTAAACTTTCCTGCTCCAGTGAGCTAGATGAACAGGTGTAAGGGGCATCCTTCTGCACTGACTGTACAGGTAATAGTCTTCGCTAATTTAGCCTGAATAATGCCTGTAGATAGGTGGCGTAACTTTACATGTGCTGAAAATACAGCGCTGTTTTATATCTGAACCTACACAGACTGTTTATATGCAGAGCCAAGTTTATTAGCAATGTTTTGAAGGGATTTAAAAAGCAACACCAAAAATAAACCATAGAGGACTCAAAGCTTTTAATACGTTTTGGTATTTGGGAAAATTAGCACAGGGGAGAAAGAAGGGTCAACCCCAACCCAAACTTCTGTCAGCGTAAGCTTTTTCACCAGCAATATCACATACCGTATATATATATCTCATTACAAGCTGAATGTAAATATTACTGACGTTTGGGAAAAATCACCTAAAGTGTAGGTGAGCTTTTATGGACCTGGATTATCCACCGGGATGCTGACTACCTGAAACTAGACACTTCAGACTTCTCTGCAGTTTCTGCCATATATTATAATTTTTATTTATTTACATGTATAAATGATGATGAGCCTTTTCAGCTGGGTTGGAGACCCCAGCTCTACATACTGACCACCATCACCCCATTACTAATTTCCCTCTACGGAATATGTTTGTTTCCTTCCGGCTGAAACTTTAATAAAAAAATTATCTAACATTCTAGTTTAGTTTAGAGAATGGGGACAGTTCATTTTTCTTTTTTGTAAGAAAAAAATGTGTCCTATTGTCATTATTACTATTTTTCAAAGCTGCACTTTTAAAAAAGATGAAATTGTCCAGAGAGCTGTTCCAAAATGAAATTTCTTTTTGTTTCACACTTGTGTAAACAAAATGACAAATAAATCTGTCTATCTATATATTATATCCTCTCCGTTCTAGGTAGGAAATATTTCTTTTTTTCGACATCTTCATTAAACCTGTCAGTAATACTCTAACAACTAGGAGGTTGGTTGTTAATGCAGCACATTGTTTCAAGCCTTGTTTTGTTTTGTTTTTTGCACTGATTTTCTGTTCAGTTTGGATTTTAGTATCAAAACCTACAGATTGATTTCAAAGCTCTCTGGGAAAAGAACCCTTTTTAATATCACAGACGTTCTTTTTTGAATATCAGCTTCCTGGTGTCTTGGATAAAAAACGAAAATAATTTTTACCGTTATGTTTTAAATCAATAGCTGACACACACTTTGAGTTAATGCTCCAACATTGTCGATCCAATCCGTGTTGTATATTACAAAATCTCCTGTAGTTTTTTTTTTATTTAAGGCTGGGGTAGCAATTTACTTTAATAAAGGGTTTATATCTGCTCCCTTATCTATTATTTATAACTCTGTAACCTCGTTTATTCACGTAGAAGATTTTTTCTGTTCATCTGTTTGTTTGAATCTATCCTTCTCTAAAAGTTATTACACAATTTGCCAAGAAAAAGACTGCAGCACTTATACCAGACCAGTAAGAGAACATATTTCGTTAAACACTGATAAATTGTGGAATATTCTTGGTTGATTTTTCTTCTACAATGGAGCACTTATCGATACAAAAAAAGAGAATCAAAAAAGGATAAGTAAATTCTTACCCCAAAGAAACCCTATTACCCTATGAATTTCAAATATTCATAATAAAATTCTATTCAGTTACGCTAAAAAGTTGTAGGTCAGTCAAGAAGGCAGTTATCTGTGCCTAAAGACATAAATAAAGGTTTAAAATCTAAGATATTCCCTGAGCTTGAAAATGAAAAACTATTATAGATTCTCTAGAATCAAGTCATAAATTTATGACAATGCACATGTGGGTATTTTACAAGGTTTAAACATCAGATGTAAAGATGATATTGAATATACCTCTGAAACAAAGAAAAAGCTGCCATTCTTGCATTATGTCTGAAATTATTTAGATTTGGGTCTCCTAAATTTACCAAATAAAGTACCCAACGTTTTATCATAAATGTATATGTCTTTTCATGATAAGTTACCATCTTTCTTTCAAATTTACAGCTGTTCAAAATTTGAAAATGTTCTTTCTTGCAAATATGTGAATTAAAAATTACAGCTATATGTCATTGATAGGAAACTTGTTGGCTGTGGTTTTAGTCTATTAACTGGCTCAAATAATGCGTCATCTTTTTTTATTGGTTTTTGAAATTTAAATCTTTTTACCATTAGTTTAGGTCATAGTATAATCTGGGTTTTTTTCGTGTTTTGTTTTTTATTTTTTGCAAATTAGACAAACTGAAAAATTTCCTGCTAGCGTTGCACTATAGTGTCCCTCTGTTTAATCAAATAATTCATCATCATCATTTATTTATTTATTTTTTTTATTGGCTTTGGAAATTTAAATCTGTTTACCATTCATTTAAGTCATAATATAATCTTGTTTTTTTGTGTTACATTTTTTGCAAATTAGACAAAAACTGAAAAAGTTCCTACTAGCGTTGCAATATAATGTGCCTTCGTTTAATAAACAAAGCCTTGATCTCCTTGATTCAGAATCTAGCTGATACTGGCTGTAATAAAAACATGTATTTTCTAGAGCAGCTGCAGGTGATTTAAAAAAAATGAGCTTCAGTCCCTCACACAGGGATTTAAAATTAGGAAAATCAGCTAAGTTTATATCTTTGTCTTCTTTAACAATGAGCTCTTTATTTTTTCTAAGAAATTCATCTTAAACATGTTGGGGTTTGGTTGAGGTTTTGAGGACCCAAATACAGAGGCAATGCGGCAGAGGTGAGTTCTTGAAGATTTAATTTAGTACTGACAGGCAACTGAGCAGGAATCCAAAAATCCAACATAAAAAATAAAGAAAAAAACAGAACCATGGAGACGTCAGGAAAAGCAAGTATGAGGAGCCTGGAAAAGATGAACCACCACAGGAAGAGTATAAATGGGAGACTGAACAAAGACAGGACTAATGAGCTAATTGGGGGCAGGTGTGAACAGAGGATTCTAGAAAGGAGCTAGGGAAAAGGAGACCAACACAAGAGGGCAACAAAGGGCAACCTAAGAACTCAAATATATCCAGAAAACACCACAAAATATGAATTAATCCAATAAAACTAGAAAAACAAAGAAAAACATGGATTAAAGTGAAACTGCAAACTCAAAAGAAAGCTTAAACAAGAACCAAGACCGTGACTAAACATGTTAACTTTTTTGCCTGACTGTCTGTATCTGCAGCTGCTCTCTCTGCTAAATGATCTGAGCACTGTATGCATGAATGAAACCTTCTCCTAGCATTTGAGAACCGGCTGCTAACAGTTCCACACATCCCTTTTCTCTGTGCAGATCTGTACTCCAGACCTTGTCGTTTTCCTGGCCTGCACCAACAGCCGTCTGAAGGAGAGGCTGCAGAAGAGAGCTGAGCAACAGGGAAGACCCGATGATAATCCAAAGGCCATCGACCGTCGCCTGACCAACTTCAAACAGAACACGATTCCTCTGGTCAAGTACTTCCAGGAGAGGGGCCTGATTGTTACAGTAAGACTGCAGTTAAACATATCTTTGGATAACAGCAAAAACATTTTTAAAAGATTATGAAAATATGTTAATTTCCTTCCAAACACCTTCCTAATCATCTGCTGCATTTATTAGTCATTGCATTTTAAGCGCATTCTGTTCATGAGGCGGGGGGGTGAGGATTTGAACTTTCAGCTTTAGAAACCGTGGAACTGCAAAGTCCTTCTGACAATGTACTTTTTACGTTGTGTTCAAATTAACTTTATTCTGTGTTTTAAAAAAAGTAATAATGCTGGGAATCCTCTTTATAGCCTTTATCTACATTAAGTCAAACATAAAGTAAACATTTTAATCCGAGTCAGAAAATGAAGAACACATTTAAATTTCTTTTTAAGCTGCACAATGTGAGGAAAAGGCAATATCTGATTCCATGTATTTCTGAGAAGAGTAATTTTTGTTTTATTCCAAAATGTGCAAGTTGAAGATATGAAACAACCACACAGTGCTCTAAATGAAAGTTTCTGAGTTTTAAAAAGGTACACAGACTTATGTGCTGTAAAATCTCATCCATCTGCATTTGACCATTGGGAAGGGGACAAACCTGCAGCTAATATATATATAGTGGCTAAGCTTGTCTCAGCGAATGTTTTTAAAATATGTGTTGGTCAATAAGCTCTGTGTTTGAAGTAAACACAGAGCCTCTTAATCAGATAGGGTTAGACTAAAGGCAGTTCCATTTGGACTCATGTGTTGGCTGTCGTGGAAAAAAGCAAAGCAAAGAAGGCTGTGGCTCGCTTCAATAAACCCCAATGTGATCAATGTCTTGCCTTCTAGCAAGAGTCCTGTTCCTGAAATGAAACATGCAGTGTTTCCATCATTGGCTGCAGGTAAAAGTCTTATCTCTCAGTGCTTTAAGGGGGGCAATATGCGATGGTACTGCATAATACCAGTCCCAGTCTAATCCTTTCTAATTTTAGCCCTCAGGGTATCTCTGCTTTTTTTCATGGTGCAGAGCATATCAAAACTTATAAGTCAAGCAGTGTTGTGGTCAAGACCACCTCACCCGAGACCAAGTCAAGACCAAAACCGAGGGAAGTCGAGACCGAGTTAAGACCAAGACCAGCGCCAGTATGTGACAATAAAATATGAAACATGATCAAAATCACTAAAATTGATCTAAAACACCCACATTCACATAAAAACACCTTGATATTTAACACACAGAACTGGAATAAACATCTTTATTTAGTACTTCTGTGTAGTAATCACAGAATTTCAAACAATTAATCAAAGTCGATCAAAATAGTATTTTCTCTGCCTTTCATGAACAGTACATACATTTATGTTGTTTTAAATGTGATATTTCAAAACAATGTGCAAATGTGTAAAACTGAAAAAATGCCAATCATTTCTCTTGTTTCTCTCTCATATACAGATTAAAGCTATATTATATAACTTTTCTTAAATAAATCCATATCTGTCACCAAGTTGTAAAAATATGTTATGAGACAGAGAATTTGTTGAAAAAAATTAATTGATCTCCTTCACTTCCTCCCTGAGCTACTGCTGACATCTGCAGAAATACAAACCCCACTGAAATACGTGCACAAAAGCCTGGCTGACTTTTTCAGTTCTAAGACCCTGTTGCTGAATCAGATGGTTTGTGTTTGACCAAGCGGTGTATTTCTCTAGTTAGCACTGGGAACATGGAGAAAAGGCAGAAGTGCTCAATGTTTTCACAGCTTGTCGGTCTCATAACATACTGTCACAACATAATGTTTTAAATATATACGTAGCTTACCTTTCTTTGTGCTTTCTTTCAAGGTGTCGATAAAAGTTGGACGTAGTCCCTACCGTCTCTAATAGTGAAGCAATGCAGAACTTACATTGCGCTGTATACTTTTTTCTCAATGTTGCTTTACAAATATATTCTTTGTGATTTAATTAGTCGAATTTTATAACCGATGATTTTGCTGACATCTTATCCCGTTCTCAGACAACCAATTGTGACTGTCAATCAAAGTGCTGCAGCCCGCGCGCAGGTGAAAGGGGGTGGGCGTGACAGCGGTAAAAAAAAAACATGCATTTACCAATGAGACAGGTTATTGCTTGGATTTGAATCCAAGCATCCAATAAAAAGAAGAATCTTAAAGAAACTGATAATATTCTGATGATTAGCGTTATTTCCACAGTTGTGGTCTTGACCGGTCTTGAAATAAAATGCTGAGTCCCCGAGACCGAGACAAGACCGAGACCACATGCGGTCAATTCCGAGACGAGACCGAGATCATCAAAAAATGGTCTCGAAACCAAGACCGATCTCGAGTACTAAAACACTGAAGTCAAGGTCATATTTTTGTATATATAAAGCACATTTCCAACAGGAAAAGCTGCACAAAGTGCTTTAAAAACAAAATATATAGGTTTTAAAACAAATCTAGCATGAGACAAAAATGAAAAAAAAAAGATCAACCATATAAATAGAAATACAAGAATGACAGAAAGAAAGTTGCTACAAACAGCCACTGGAATAAAAAAAAAAAAAAAAAAAGAGCAACTATCTAAGAAACAACAGCATTTAGGTCATTGTGTACCAAAACATTAGTCTTCAAAGCTGATATAATATCTACAGTTTGTGTATTTTTATAGTCAAAAGGCACAGCAAAGGTTCTGTTTAGGCAGCATTAACTGAGCCATAGACCTTACGGTTTTTTTGGGAACATGATTACAGAGCAGTTGCGATAGATAAGAAGGGGCAAGAGCATGTAAAGAATCAATAACAAAAGTACAATTTTAATGAATTCTATAAGAAACTGGTGGCCAGTGAAGAGAGGCCATTACTGAGTCAATGTGCGTATTTCTTTTTGCACCAGTCAATTAACAAGCTGCAGCCTTTTGTACCAACTGGAGGTGTCGAATAGAGGACTGGTCCAAAAGTAAAGTACATGGAGATGCACTGATCCAATCAAAAAGCTCTAGGTCAAAGTCTAGCTGGAATGGGGTTACTGACATGGTGCGAAAACATTTTCTCTGGTTCTATGTTTTCATGTTGCTTTAATAGTGTTATGTATCTAGCTATAACATTTAGGGTTTAAAAACATGTCCAAACCTGTTGCATGACAAAAGCCAATCTAAAAAGCAGGTGCAAAGGGAATTGCTTGTGTTAAACTAATTGAAGCAGTGGGTGCAAAATATATATCAGCTGTCATGGGTCTGCTAATAAAACATGAGTCATTGTCTTCTACTGAAGAAACTGCAAACCTAGAATTTACACATTAAATATATGTTTTATTTATACACATTGTATTGTTTGCCTTAAAAGGAGTGACCTAATCAAACTCAAATCTCTGTTTTTCGACAAAATGTTTAATTCACAATGTATTCCACCCAAATTCAACCTTCATCATGCTGGTAGTGATGCCACTAATGAATGAGCCTCAGTAGAATATAAATGTCTGTATCTAATCTCTAGGCAAATTTAGACAACATTTGACTCATCTGATGCCAATCTGATAAAAACGTCATGGACATCAGTGGAACAACTGAGTATAAATGCCAGCTGGAAATTAGAAATCCATGTAATGGATTATCAGATGGGATTTTGGTAGAATAGGTCAGTATTGTCACTTTCTGAGGAGAAGGGAAACACAAAGAGGTTGCTGTATTTTAGTAACATAACCAAAAACATGCCTTATCCTCTCTCACACACAACCAGATGAATAACAGGAGGGACATGTGAGAAGGTCGCCTGAACTAGACACTTCTGGGATCCTCTTCACTGTTTGAGGTTTGGTATGGCAGCACATCGGCCCACTCTCAATATGTGCTGCTGACTGCCAGCCCAGTCTACTGGTGGGAGTCTTATCGATCTGTCTGAGTCTTAAGGCAACTGCTTCTTCCTCGGTGCTCAGGGAATGCCGAACAACTCCTCCAAGTTTGTTACTAAAGAAAAAAAAGGTCTTAGTTTGCACAGTCTGAGTGTGTGTTTGAAAAGTCTTATGTGAAGTGTTGTACACAAACCTCATTGGATGGATGCTGCACTAATTTTGAGTAAGTGACCCTTTCACTGCCACAACCAAAAAAAAAAAGTCAGACGTTCAATATGTTTGCCTGACAAAATGCTTAGATAAAAGGATGTAATGAAAATAGGCATGTTTACATGCACATAAGTATTCATGAGAAACAGATAATGGAATAGAAATGTCAGATTTGTCAGTCAGGAGACCCCCGATCAAATTCTGCTCATGGGGCAGCAGCATTTTGCTGCAAAGAATTTAAAGGAATATTAATTTCCTCATTTTGTATCAAAGGAACAGTAACAGCAGGAGTTTCTGTGCCTTTAGCTTATTTATAGACAGCAATAATGGCTCTCAGAAACTGGTGCAGGTCTATTTTGGGTGGGTAGAAGACTTTTACATTTTTGAAGTGCAATTTTTCTGCCGTTGCTTTTAGGCAATTTCACAGTTTTGTGTATATATAAGTGCTGCTGTTCTGAAATTGGAGCTTTAGATTGTATTTTAATTACCATAAGAATTAATTTTCTAAATTAATTGGAAACAAGTTTATTGGTTATGTTTGTTAATACAGAACATATACTTTGCTTACTTGGGTCTATGGTGCTGAAAGTAAATAATTTTTTAACACAAACATCCAGATTGGTTGTAATCCTGGGATCATGGATATGTGGGAATGGTTGACTTGGAGTTTTATTTTTTCCTGTTTGACTTTCCCAACTAGCCAGTCAGCGAATCAACAAGTGAACCCTAAAACCTTTTCCCAGGTCATATGGCACAACTGCAGTGAAAAAAAGGTTATATAGTAACTTGGACAATATAATGAGATGTAGTATATCAGAACTGTAAGACATTCAGGTCAGACCCAAGTAACAATACAGATTTTGGTATTAAATATCTTCCCTGAAGCTGCCTGAATACAAACACTTGTATCTTGTATCAATACAAGAATAACAAATTGTGATAAAACTATAGGATTGTTGTAATGCAAGTAGGATCAGATTAGAG